ATCGAAACGTCGTGATCTATGATTATCTTTCTACCCGCTACGTGACGACTTTACCGAAAGAACCAAAGAGTGTGGATTCCCGCAGTCACGAAAGCTTCAAGTAAAGATTTCAGAAACCGTCATTCAATCATTTCAACACAAGAGGGGAGACTACCGCAGACATTTTAAGACCCCCCCCAAGTCCGCCACCGTACTGGGGCCGCTTTGATCGCCCGAATTTCGGCAGATGGGGAAAACCAACGGGGTGGACGCGAGGCGATGCGTCGAACCGCTCCATCTCCGCGCTTCTGTTGAGCAAGTTAACGGCGAGCGGTCAATGGGAACCCCCTCGAGACCTTCGACGAGGAGACGACGCTCCGCTGAGCTGGGGACCGCACGGCGGCCGCTGACGGCCGATCGTGGGTAAAGGGGCCCACTTAGCCACACAGATTCACAATGTAGCGGTTCACCCTCTGGCCGCTAGAGGTTAACCATCGACTATCCATCATCGGATTATCGGGGTTGCTGATTAGATCTTGATTGAAAACTCACGTCTCTAGAGCTGCTGCTTGTTGCGTTTCGTGTCGTTGACTAGCGTAGGGTGTTAAAAAAGTTAAACATACACACACTATACCATACACTACATACTACACACGACACTATACATTACTATACACTACGCCGATCGTGGGTAAAGGGACTCCGCGTCTTTTTTTCCACGGAAGATTCAGCCGGTGCAAGAATTGCAGTCCAGAGACCACCAAATCTCGCGGTGCTTTCATTGAACTTGCAGACGAAGACGACCGATTTTAGTCACAAATTTACTTGATGTCAGAAGGAGGTCATTGTCACCATGGCGGCTTCGTCAACAAACAACATTTTCAGGCTCTGGGGTGTTCATGAGGAATGAAATCGAATCTCCATGAATTCAAGAAAGTTCCATCATTTAGAATTCGTCTTTTTATTTCACTTTTTCACAAGCCATAGGCAAAACAAATCAAGGTCGTTGCTTTTGGCCCAGCCTGTATAGACCCCTTACGTTCCCACTCCCTGTACCCTAAACAAATCAAGGTTGTTACTCATGGCCCAGCCTGTATAGGCCCTTACGTTCCCACTCCTGGTATCCTAAACAATCAAGGTCATTGCGTGTGGCCCAGCCTGTATAGACCCCTTACGTTCCCACTCCCTGTGCCCTAAACAAATCAAGGTTGTTACTCATGGCCCAGCCTGTATAGGCCCTTACGTTCCCACACCTGGTATCCTAAACATATCAAAGTCGTTACTCATGGCCCAGCCTGTATAGACCCCTTACGTTCCCACTCCCTGTACCCTAAACAAATCAAGGTCGTTGCTTGTGGCCCAGCCTGTATAGACCCCTTACGTTCCCACTCCCAGTACCATAAACAAATCAAGGTCGTTACTCATGGCCCAGCCTGTATAGGCCCCTTACGTTCCCACTCCTGGTATCCTAAACAAATCAAGGTCACTGCTTGTGGCCCAGCCTGTATAGACCTCTTACGTTCCCACTCCCAGTGCCCTAAACAAATCAAGGTCATTGCTTGTGGCCCAGCCTGTAAAGACCCCTTACGTTCCCACTCCCTGTACCCTAAACAAATCAAGGTCGTTACTCATGGCCCAGCCTGTATAGGCCCTTACATTCCTGCTCCTAGTACCCTAAACAAATCAAGGTCGTTACTCATGGCCCAGCCTGTATAGACCCCTTACGTTCCCACTCCCTGTACCCTAAACAAATCAAGGTTGTTACTCATGGCCCAGCCTGTATAGGCCCTTACGTTCCTGCTCCTAGTACCCTAAACAAATCAAGGTCGTTACTCATGGCCCAGCCTGTATAGACCCCTTACGTTCCCACTCACAGTACCCTAAACAAATCAAGGTCGTTGCTTGTGGCCCAGCCTGTATAGACCCCTGACGTTCCCACTCCCTGTACCCTAAACAAATCAAGGTCGTTACTCATGGCCCAGCCTGTATAGACCCCTTACGTTCCTGCTCCCAGTACCCTAAACAAATCAAGGTCGTTACTCATGGCCCAGCCTGTATAGACCCCTTACGTTCCCACTCACAGTACCCTAAACAAATCAAGGTCGTTGCTTGTGGCCCAGCCTGTATAGACCCCTGGCGTTCCCACTCCCTGTACCCTAAACAAATCAAGGTCGTTACTCATGGCCCAGCCTGTATAGACCCCTTACGTTCCTGCTCCCAGTACCCTAAACAAATCAAGGTCGTTACTCATGGCCCAGCCTATATAGACACTTACGTTCCCACTCCCTGTACCCTAAACAAATCAAGGCTGTTGCTTGTGGCCCAGCCTGTAAAGACCCCTTACGTTCCCACTCCCTGTACCCTAAACAAATCAAGGTCGTTACTCATGGCCCAGCCTGTATAGGCCCTTACGTTCCTGCTCCTAGTACCCTAAACAAATCAAGGTCGTTACTCATGGCCCAGCCTGTATAGACCCCTTACGTTCCCACTCCCTGTACCCTAAACAAATCAAGGTCGTTACTCATGGCCCAGCCTGTATAGGCCCTTACGTTCCTGCTCCTAGTACCCTAAACAAATCAAGGTCGTTACTCATGGCCCAGGCTGTATAGACCCCTTACGTTCCCACTCCCAGTACCCTAAACAAATCAAGGTCGTTGCTTGTGGCCCAGCCTGTATAGACCCCTGACGTTCCCACTCCCTGTACCCTAAACAAATCAAGGTCGTTACTCATGGCCCAGCCTGTATAGACCCCTTACGTTCCTGCTCCCAGTACCCTAAACAAATCAAGGTCGTTACTCATGGCCCAGCCTGTATAGACACTTACGTTCCCACTCCCAGTACCCTAAACAAATCAAGGTCGTTGCTTGTGGCCCAGCCTGTATAGACCCCTGACGTTCCCACTCCCTGTACCCTAAACAAATCAAGGTCGTTACTCATGGCCCAGCCTGTATAGACCCCTTACGTTCCTGCTCCCAGTACCCTAAACAAATCAAGGTCGTTACTCATGGCCCAGCCTGTATAGACACTTACGTTCCCACTCCTGGTATCCTAAACAATTCAAGGTCGTTGCTTGTGGCCCAGCCTGTATAGACCCTTACGTTCCCACTCCTGGTATCCTAAACAAATCAAGGTCGTTGTTTGTAGCCCAGCCTGTATAGACCCCTGACGTTCCTGCTTCTAGTACCCTAAACAAATCAAGGTCGTTGCTTGTGGCCCAGCCTGTATAGACCCTTACGTTCCCACTCCTGGTATCCTAAACAAATCAAGGTCCTTGCTTGTGGCCCAGCCTGTATAGACCCCTTACGTTCCTGCTCCAGTCCTCCTACCCCTCCCTTCTGTTGTCGTTGTTCAGAAACCGGCAATATGGCGGACTCTCGATTATCCGCTTGTGCGGTTTATCCGATTTGCGGATTAACCCGCGCGCACGAGATTTTGGCATGAATCAATAACTCGTGGATTTCCCCTTAAGCCCAAATTAAGAATCTAAAAAGTTATACATTGTTGGTAATGTTCATTACAAGTCACACTGAGCTTAAACCGAACAAATATGTTGCTCCAGTTCATCTGAAATCAACGCCATCGCCTCTACAGTACAGTAGTTGCCGTAACTTTACACCGGTGGATGGAGTTTGATTGATGTTGATTGGCAGTGGCTCTGCTATCATCCACTTCGTGGGCCGAGTCTTCTGCTGGGCGGGTGCAAGGAAAGTGTTATTATCACTGAGCATGAGTAAAAGGTGTGAGTGACCACAGTCGGCCTGCTCCCCAGATCATCTATCCACTTGTGGAGGTGATTCGTTACATTCTGAAAATGTATCGTTTACTTAAAACCGAAACAGGAGCAGCCTGAATTTTGATTTAAAGCTTCCGTGACTGCAGGGATTCATATTCTTGGTTCTTTCGGTAAAGTCACCACGTAGAAGGGAAACAATAAAATAATACAAATATAAAACGATAAAATTATCACGACGTTTCGATTGCAACACGAGCAATCGTCATCAAGGTGTGAAAACCACAGCAAGAAAATTTGATAAAAGTGGAGTTTTCTTTTTTCCTGTGGTTTTCACACCTGATGACGATTGCTCGTGCTGCAGTCGAAAACGTCGTGAGAATTTTATCGTTTTATATTTTTATTATTTTATTGTTTCCCTTCTACGTGGTGACTTTACCGAAAGAACCAACAATAGGAGCAGCCTGGTTAAACAACAACTCTGGCCGCCGCCTGACGAGGCTGGATGTCACGGCACTCGAATTCTAAACGTTGTAGTGGGTTTACTCTACGACACACAAACCGGTTAGTGCTGTACTAGTCACGAATTGGCACGTTTTGTTTCCGTGACAAACCCCTTACTAATTGGCAGTGTCGGGCGGTGACGTCAACGGCAAAGCATTTAAATGTACGCAATCTAACCCAGAATAACCCCTATAATATGGATAATATTGGTCGCGAACGCCTACTACTGCTACTACTACTGCTAAGGTGTTAAACTGTACAGCTTAAGAGTTTGCGGTGAAACAAAAGAGGTATATACAGGGTGCTTTAAAAAAAAAAGTGATGACACTTGTGAGAATTTGCAACGATACCACGAGAAATGTGCCCCTCCGGGCTCTGGAGGACCACCTGGGGAAGATTCCAGGCGTGACTTGACAACGATGGCGAACGAGTGGGAGACTAAATTTTGATTTAAAGCTTTCGTGACTGCAGTGATTCATATTCTTGGTTCTTTCGGTAAAGTCACCACGTTGAACGGAAACAATAAAATCATAAAATATATATAAAACAATAAAATTCTCACGACGTTTCGACTGCGACACAAGCAGTCATCATCAGGTGTGAAAACCAACGGCAAGAACAATTGAAAGAAGTGGTTTTCACACCTGATGATGACTGCTTGCGTTGCAGTCGAAACGTCGTGAGAATTGTATTGTTTTATATATATTTTGTTATTTTATTGTTTCCCTTCAACGTGACTTTACCGAAAGAACCAAGAATATAAGTGGGAGACTCTTTGTCTTTTTTTGAAGCTATTAACATTACATTTGTTATCATGTAATGGTGTATTATCCGTTCTTTTTCCATTCAAAACAATAGTCCCATATAAGTGTTAAAACATTTTTTTTAAGCACCCTGTATATACGGTAAGCGACAAAACCATTCCCCACTGGTTTTCAAATGGGAGGCATGAAAAAAACAAATCCATTCGGGACACGCAAGTGTTTCACTTGAGCGCGTGCGTCTTTGAGTGCCTCTTCAGCTGACCGCTCTGCGCAAACCCCTCGCCGCACTCCTTGCACACGTGCGGCTTCTCGCCCGTGTGCGTCCTCACGTGCGCCGTCAGCGTGGAACTCTGCGAGAACGCCTTGCCGCACTCCTTGCACACGTACGGCTTCTCGCCGCTGTGCGTCCTCCGGTGCTTCTCCAGATCCGAGCGCTGCGCGAAGCCCCGGCCGCACTCGGCGCACGCGTGCGGCCACTCGCCCGTGTGGGTCCTCGCGTGCGCGTTGAGGGTGGCGCGGAGGGCGAAGGCCCTGCCGCACTGGTCGCACGCGTACGGCCGCTCTCCCGTGTGGGTCCTGGCGTGCGCCTCCAGCGAGGAGCTCTGCGAGAACGCCTTGCCGCACTCCTTGCACGCGTGCGGCCTCTCGCCCGTGTGGGTCCTCGCGTGCGCGTTGAGGGTGGCGCGGAGGGCGAAGGCCTTGCCGCACTGGTCGCACGCGTACGGCCGCTCGCCCGTGTGCGTCCTGGTGTGCGCCTCCAGGGAGGAGCGCTGCGAGAACGCCCTGCCGCACTCCTCGCAAGCGTGCGGCCTCTCGCCCGTGTGGGTCCTCGCGTGCCTCTCCAGGTGGGAGGACAGCGCGAAGCCCCGGCCGCACTCGGCGCACACGTGCGGCCACTCGCCCGTGTGCGTAGTCGCGTGCGCGTTGAGGGTGGCGCGGAGGGCGAAGGCCCTGCCGCACTGGTCGCACGCGTACGGCCGCTCTCCCGTGTGGGTCCTGGTGTGCGCCTCCAGCGAGGAGCTCTGCGAGAACCCCTTGCCGCACTCCTCGCACGCGTACGGCTTCTCGCCCGTGTGCGTCCTCACGTGCGCCGTCAGCGTGGAACTCTGCCCGAAGCCCCTGCCGCACTCCTTGCACACGTACGGCTTCTCGCCGCTGTGCGTCCTCCGGTGCTTCTCCAGATCCGAGCGCTGCGCGAAGCCCTGGCCGCACTCGGCGCACGCGTGCGGCCACTCGCCCGTGTGGGTCCTCGCGTGCGCCTCCAGGGAGGAGCGCTGCGCGAAGCCCCGGCCGCACTCGTCGCACACGTACGGCTTCTCGCCCGTGTGCGTCCTCGCGTGCTCCGTCAGGTGGGAGCGCCGCGCGAACTCCTTCCCGCAGTCGGCGCACGCGTGCCCCCGCCGGTCGCCGGCGACCGCCGCGCACGGCGGCGCCGCGGCTCCCAGCGGCTTGCCGCACCGGGCGCAGGAGGCTCCCGGCGTGGCGGCCGCGCGTCCGGCGTCGTCCGTCCCCGTCCCCGGAGGTCGCCCGCCCGCCTCGCACTCCTCGCACAGGAGTTCCGCTCCTGTCGCGTCGTCCGCCGCAAAATGCAGAGTTCGATGTTGAACGACAATAAGAACGACAAGGTGCCGGGGTTCGGCGAACGGCAGCGCCGTTAAGGCTCTAGCTCCTCAGCTTCCCTTTTCTTTGGCGTACGGGAGGCCCGGGACCGGTTCAGATAATCGCCGTCACCGGTGTTGGTGGCCGTGAGCGGGAATCGAACTCGGGTCGCCGGGTTCGTAGCGCTAACCACTACACCGCCGCGCCCCGCACTCCACACGACAACAACCGGCATTCGCCACGAAGTGACGGTGATGTCGCCACGGCGCTTGTGCCAGGTTAGGTGCACGATGAGGCCACGTGAAGTGTCGAACGCCCGCTGGCAGGAGGTCACGGGGCAGACCCAGGTGCCACGGGTCGACTGACTGAGATGAGTGGCCGATGCACCACCTGTGCCCCCTACTGTGCCAACCTGCTGTGTTTTAGCCACCCGGCGCTCTGCTCATTGTCGTGAGCGTCGCTCCTCTGCCCTCCGTTGTTGGAGGGCGACTGCCTCCAACTGCCCAATAGCGTCCTTCACGAGCCTCCTCCACAGAGGCCGATCTTGACACCGCTGGTTCCAGTTATTGGCAAGTCCACTCAGCTCCACATCCTCTTGTACCACATCACTCCATCTCCTCTCTAGCCCGTGTCACACCTGTTTAGCCCCCTATAGCTATCCGAAGAAAAGCTATTTAGGCATGCGGTGTCTGGGCATGTGGGCGGCATGACCCAGCCAATGCAGCATTGCCTGCTGGAGAAGCTCACTGATTAGGACTTTGTCCAGATCTTTCAAGGATTTGTGAGCTCACATAATTCAGCCTGGTTAAACCCAGAATGGATCGTAGGCAGGCCAGCCTGGATGTTTCGAACCGGCGAAGATGTTCCAAACATAGAGAAGGGAGGGAATGACTGTGGCCGAGAAGACCCGAAGCTTCTTGTGGAGCGGCAGACCAGGTAGCTTCCACACAGCGTTACGCAACCGATGAAAAGATAATGCCGCTCGACTGATTTGGATGGAGACATCAGCTGTCAAATCAGAGCTGGTCATGAGCACACTGTCAAGGTATGGGAAACTCTCCACTCCTTCCACACCGCCACAACACTAATGGGGATTTGAAGGGGTGGAGTATGGCACAAAATACCAAAGCAGGTGCTTAGTTTTGTAGGGGCTGATGATAAGGCCCCACCTCTTGGTAGCATGCTCCAGGTTCAGCAGCAGTGCCTCCAACTGCTCCTCAGAGTGAGCAGCAATCACCAGATCATCAGTATACATAACATGGTTGACCAATAGGATCGCTCCCTCGACTGCACCCGGGCATCAATCAGTCTCCCATTGTATCTGTACCAGATGGAAATTCCTCCGATACAGTCATGGAACACTTCTCGAATTACGTGATTGAATTAGATGTAAAATAATGTAGGTGTACGAGGACATCCCTGTCACACCCCAAGGTGAACAGGGAACGGCTCCGACTCCCGGTCATGTAGCTTTATCCGGGCCCGCCCTCCATAATGAAGGTCCGTAATAATTGTGAACATAGAGTCAGGGACACCGAAATCATGAAGAACAACCCAGAGCCCAGGCCTATTGATGGTCTCATAGGCTTTGACCACGTCAATAAAGCAGATAGGTAGGTCCTGCTGGAATTCATTACACCTCTGCTGTAGCGGATGGACAGAAAATATGGCAGTTTAACACGTAGGCTTTCGCGACCAATATTCTTCACAATAAACGTTTTTGGGTTAGATCGCATTATTTATGTGTCGTAACCCTCCACCACCCGACACGGTCAGTCAGTAAAAAAAGTGTCACGTTGACAAAAGACAAAATAGTTCACTACTTTAGCCCACCGGCGTGTTGAAGAGTGAATCCACAACATTTACAACTTTTTTGTGGGTGTACATCTACACATTTATAAATAACGCGATCTAACCCAAAAAAAATTATTATGAAGAAAATATTGCGTCTGTGCAGGACAGCCCTGGCCTGAAACCACATTGGGGCTCAGCAAGCCTCTCTTCAGCGTGCCTGGCAAGGGGCGATGTTGAATAATCCTTGCCAGGACCTTTCCCGGCACTGCGGAGGGAGATGCCCCTGTAGTTGTTACAGTCTGTGCGGTCCCCCTTCTAAAAGATGGGGACCACCAGGGCATCCTTCCAATCCTGCGGAACCCGTCCAGTGGTCCAAACTGTTATTGTCACATAAGGCGGTCTGCACACAAACACCACCCTTTTCCTGGTCTCAGACATTAGATCACCTTCCGTACTTCCTCAACAGATGGCACTTTGGCCAGCCATTCACAGGGGGTGACTATTTCGTCCAATATTTGAGGCACCGCAGCCTTAGAAGAGTCATCCACAATTGCCCCACGATGTTTTCCAGGCGAAGGGATTTCCCCTCCCCCAAGACCTCACAGAAATGCTCCGCAAATCTGCAAACCTGGTCCAAGGGGTCGAAGATTACCTTTCTTTCACCTAAGGATGGTGAAAGGTGTGGCACTGCAAGTAACTTTTTGATGGCGATAAAGAGGGATTTGTGATCGCGGGCTACTGAGTTAGACTCCCATCTCCTTAGCAACCCGCGACCACCACTCATCTTTGCAGCCCCACACGGCTCTCCAAACCTTCGAATGAAGGCTGCGGTAAACGCCTCATTCTCTGACGTGGGATGCTGCAGACGGCGGGATTTGGCCTGTCGCTTTTTCTCAGCCAGCCGGAACACCTCCCTAGTCAGCCAGGGTCTCTGGGGAGGTTTGAACCGTGTACCTAACACAGTCATTGCAGCTGCATGAGTCACAGTCCTAAACCTCGGCCATATTCCCCTCGGCATCAGGAGGAGGGGGGACGATGCCAACCCCAGCTGCATGCGATGATGACATTCTCGCTTGCAACTTTCATCAGCTAGTTGAGACCAGGCCACTGTGGGTTTGAATGGGGTCCTAGATGGACACTCACCACCAGAGTGGAAGAATGGCAGGTGCATCTTACAGATGACAAGACAATGGTCAGTGAGCAGAACAGCTCCACGGTAGGTTCTGGTGTTAAGGAAATGGGTCTGCATCCGCTGTTCCATCACTATGTAGTCCAGCAGATGTTCTTGCTTGGACCCGGCGTGCATCCATGATGTTGTGTGGATGCGCCGAAGCCGGAACAGCGTGTTGGTGATTACAAGCCCATGGACTGCACAAAAGTCTAGCAGCCTCCTACCGTTGTTATTGACCTGATCTGGCCCATGCCCTCCAATCACTCCAGACCAGGTGCCAGCATCATGACCAACTCGGGCATTAATGTCACCCAACAGGATGACTCTATCCCGAGGTGCCACTTTAGCTAGCACCTGTGACAGTAGGTCATAGAAGCCATCTGACTCATCGGCCTTGCCTGAAACCCTCCAATGACGTTCATCTTCGGTGGGGGCGTAAGTAACCACCACCACCACCATTCCTCGCCTCCCGTTTAATGGGGAAAGCTATCCCACAGCACCTTGGGGCTTACAGCTTCCCACACCTCACCACCGCTAAACACAAACGCACACAGAGACTCACACACACCCGGCCACACGACACACACAGGACACGCACAGACACGCACACCCGGCCACACGCACGCTTCGTGTGACAGCCCCACGCGTAGTTGATGTCACCTCTCGTCGCCAATGCTTTTGCTGCCACACAACAGACGGGCGACCTGCGAGATGTGCCCCGACGAGTCTCCCACCAGCCGGCCACTCGCAGAGGGCGGCTACTTCCTCCAATGTTTTGAGGCGCCCCCCCCCCCCCCCCCATCTGCGTTGGCCCGGGTTTTCACTCCGCCAAAAACAAAACGATGGCCGTTTTCTCTCAAACGACGCCGGATTATGCCAAGCGTACGAGTCCCACAGTCGACATCGCTTCAGCTCGTGGCACGTCTGGGACATACGGCCGGCGATACAAGCAAGAAGACGTTGCATTTTGTCTGTCACGTTATCAAACTAAAACTAAACTTTGTACGTTACCAGGTGTAACGCCCCACTGAGCTACGTAGTCGATCTTTTGAAGAAGCGACCTGGCCGTCACACAGTGATAGCTCAACAAAGTGGCTGTTAAATACTCTAAACGTCTATGGGTCTCTGTGTGATGGGATCATGGGTCTCTGTGTGATGGGGTTATGGGTCTCTATGTAATGAGTCTATGAGTCTCTATGTGATGAGTCTATGTGTCTCTATGTGATGAGTCTATGGGTCTCTGTGTGATGAGTCTATGGGTCTCAATGTGATGAGTATGGGTCTCTGTGTGATGACTCTATGGGTCTCTATGTGATGAGCCTATGGGTCTCTATGTGATGAGGCTATGGGTCTCTATGTAATGAGGCTATGGGTCTCTATGTAATGAGTCTATGGGTCTCTGTGTGATGGGGTTATGGGTATCTGTGTGATGGGGTTATGGGTCTCTGCGTAATGAGGCTATGGGTCTCTGTGTGATGAGTCTATGGGTCTCTATGTAATGAGTCTATGGGTCTCTGTGTGATGGGGTTATGGGTCTCTATGTAATTAGTCTATGGGTTTCTATGTAATGAGTCTATGGGTCTCTATGTGATGAGTCTATGGGTATGTATGTGATGAGTCTATGGGTCTCTATGTAATGAGGCTATGGGTCTCTATGTAATTAGTCTATGGGTCTCTGTGTGATGGGGTTATGGGTCTCTGTGTGATGGGGTTATGGGTCTCTGTGTAATGAGTCTATGGGTCTCTGTGTGATGGGGTTATGGGTCTCTATGTAATTAGTCTATGGGTCTCTATGTAATGAGTCTATGGGTCTCTGTGTGATGGGGTTATGGGTCTCTGTGTGACGAGTCTATGGGTCTCTATGTAATGAGTCTATGGGTCTCTGTGTGATGAGGCTATGAGTCTCTGTGTAATGAGGCTATGGGTCTCTGTGTAATGAGGCTATGGGTCTCTATGTGATGGGGTTATGGGTCTCTGTGTGATGACTCTATGTGTCTTCATGTAATGAGTCTATACACTAAAACTACACTTTTTATTTTACCAAGTAAGCCCCACTGAGCTGTGTGTTCTTTGTCAGATAAGCGACATGGCCACCACACGAATGATAGCAGCTCACCACAAGTGGCTTATCACGTGGGAGTCTACAGTAACAAAATTAACCTAAACGCGCGACGCCGATTCTAAACGGGGAGGGGAAAACCGCAGGAGCCGGGGAAAATTCCACACCACCTCGGGGAGAAAGAGAGAGACACCAACGAAACTCCGAATGTAGTGAAACTCACGCTCACCGACATCCTCCTCCGACAACTCCACCTCGATGAAGTTTTGGTCCGCGGCGAAGAGACATCCGTGAGAATCCTCCGTCTCACGCGGCCCCTCGATTGCTTCTGCGGCTGCAACGTCAGGGAAAGCGCCACTGGGCTTTGGACGAGTGGGGGGGTGGGGGGGGTGGGTGAAACGCACCCGAAGATCGTGCAGTCAAGCTGCCAGCTGGGGACGTTGCCCCTTCCGCGTATTAACTGATGGGAGTTTGTCTCTCGGTTAACGGTGTTTCGTTGGTTCCGCGGGAAAAAAACGTCGTTAAGCAAAATTATCGTGAATCGAACATAGCGAATGCACGTTGAAGGCTTAATTTGATCGTGAGTTGACCTTTTTCACCCTAAAAGGCACTGTTTGTATCACGTTTCAACACGCAAGCTTAACAAATAAACGTTGTAAAAACATGTTAAAGCATTAATTTTAGTAGAAACATGGATAAATAATGCATGCATAGGGCATAAAAAGGTGCATAAAGCGCAGAAACAGACACGTCAATCACTTATCAGCGCCCTACCTCATTACAGACCAACTCAGACCTTATTGGTCACCCCGTGACCCCCTAATGAATCTCAGCGTTCATCCTACAAAGTCCCATCACAAGCGAGAGAAATATAAACAAATAGACAAAATAATGTTGCCCGTATTGAAACGGCTGTACACCGTATGGACCTGAAACACTCAATTTCACTGTACAAGAATACGGGGTAAAGCGTATGGGTTGACGCGGTATTCATAAAATAAAAAGTCTTACCTTAGGCCGAGAAGACGGATGGCTCAAGTATTCAAGAGAGCTGTTTCCAGAAGCAACGCAACATCAAACATGGAAAAGCCCGCAAGCCAGCCGAAATTTGCGGCTCCGCGTGATATCGTACAACGCGCCGTCGATAAAAACAAAAAAAAGTATCGCGAACAGAAACAAGGGGAACCGCATGGGAGGCGGATCGCGAGTCTAAACATCGTTGCCCCGTGGCATCGTTAAACCGAGGGACCGCTGCATTGGCATCCTGCCACGGTGTGGTTCCTAACAATCTCAAAGCTGTCGTAGGGAAAGGGGCCCTCACCGTCATCCTCCACTTCCGTTTTCACCACGATCCTCAGGATCTCGGGGCTCAGGCTCCCCTCGTCCTCCTGCTTCACGACGGCGCCTGCAAAAGCGCGCATCGGCACAGGCGTCGGCAGAGGCGTCGGCACAGAGGCATCGGCACAGACGTCGGCACAGGCATCGGCACAGAGGCATCGGCACAGACGTCGGCACAGACATCAGCACAGAGACATCGGCACAGACAAATTGGCACAGAGAAGGCTTCGTCTCACGGTGACGAGGCCCTCACGGGTCGTAGTGGGGGGGGGGGGGGGGGTCAGAGACGGCGACTACCGGAAAACTTTGCCCGTAGCGGCTTTATCGATGGCGTGTTTGGGCGCCACACGGTTCACCTGATGAGCTCCGTTATCTGGGACACGGGGGGTGACGTTGTGGCCGTACACGGTTCACGTGATGAGCTCCATTATGCGGGACACGACGGTACGACGCAAACGTTCGCCACGCATTCCCCGCGCGCATCCAGCCGTCCCAGTCGCCGAGGGCGTCGGTCAAACGGACGTCGTGATGGCGAATCGTCAACGGTCAAGTGGCGGTGTCGGGGGCGAGCGTCGCTAGGAGCTGATGCGATCCCAGTCCGGGTCTTAATGACGGCCCTCAATCAAAATTCCCGTGGTGCCCGATTCCTTTTCACGTGGAGCCCGAGGCTCTATCCCGGCCTCTGGTGACTGTTTTATTTTAGGCCGGAGCAAGAGGCCCCACTGGACTGTGTAGCAGCTCATTTTTCAGAAGCGACCTGGCCATCAACAAATGACAACTCGACCACGTGGGGATTCAGAGGAGCCTAACAGAGCGATTTAAAGCTTTCGTGACTGCAACGATTAATCCTCTTTGGTTCTTTCGGTAAACGTCGTGAGAATTTTATTGTTTTATTTTATTACTTTATTCTCATTCTACGTCGTGACTTTACCGAAAGAACCAAAGAAGACCTAACAGAGCGGTCCACGACAATTTGTTATTTGTTCACGGACTGGGGGGGGGGGGGGTGTTCATCATTGGGGTCTTTCCCCCCCCCCTTTCAAAGAAGCTCTCCGGCGACGTTTGTTTTGTATTCATTGTGGCCACGAGGGGTCAGCTTGTGGGCTCGCCAACACCGCGCGACTGTGGGGGGGGGGGCCACGCGGGGACTCAAAAAAATAAGTGTGGGATTCTGACTTCTCACGAGGAGCGCGCAAACCTCGATCCCTCGCGTGCGCGGCTTTACAGTCGGGGTTCGCGCTCCAGTTGAGAATCTAACGCCGCCGCTGATCCGACAGGAGGCTGAGCTCAGGCGGTAATTCCGAGCGATGGGGAGCCGCTGTCAACACGGACGGTGAAGCTTCGCTCGCTCGCCCACCGCTCTCGCCTCGTGTCGTGCGGCCCGGTTCCTAACAGGCATCACTGACCGGTACCGGCCCGCGGCCCCGCGGGGTTGGGGACCCCCGTGGCCTTAAAGTTCATAGCGGCATCTTCTTGGTTCTTTCGGTAAAGTCACGTAGAATGGAAATAAAATAATAAAAAATAAAACGTAATAATTACTTTATTTTTTAAATTTTATTACGTCTTTTTTATTATTTAATTTCCATTCTACGTGGTGACTTTACCGAAAGAATCATAGTGGCATTGTCTTTGTGCTGTCCACCTTTTGGTATGGTCCTCTGGTCTAAGACTGTTTGAGACAGGGCTCTAAAGAAAGCTGTGGACCAAACAGTCCCAAAGACAATGCATCATCATCATCTACTAGCGGAGCGTGGCGTTTGTTTGCATATTCACCACAAGTACTGTGTTGTGTGTGGTTAATGCAGTAACTTGATTCCTCGCTAAAGGTTTCAGTTTGGCGTTTTGACATCTGAACGCCTCCTGTTTGACTGCCAGAAAGTGTAAAACATATATTCTTACACGGCCAAATACTCTCAACTTGTGACGCTGACTCTAAACGTGGAGGCAAAGGGAAAACCGGAGGATCCGGTAGAAAAAAATTCCACGCCACCACGGAAAGAGAACACGCAGACTCCAAATATACATCAGCAGCAGGCATCGTCAGGGTCAGGGTCAAACCCACGACCTCCTGCACACCAGGCGAGCTAGTCAACATCTCCTAGCCACCGTGATGATGATGACAGAGGGAGAGACGCAGACACCAAATATACAGCAGCAGGCGTCGTCAGGGTCGGGGTCAAACCCACGACCTCCTGCACACCAAGCGAAGTAGTCAACATCTCCTAGCCACCGTGATGATGATGATGAGAGAAACGCAGACTCCAAATACACAGCAGCAGGCATCGTCAGTCAGAATCGAACCCACGACCTCCTGCACACCAGGCGAGGTAGTCAACATCTCCTAGCCACCGTGATGATGATGATGACAGAGAGACGCAGACTCCAAATACACAGCAGCGGGCATGGTCAGGGTCAGGATCGAACCCACGACCTCCTGCACACCAGGCAAGGTAGTCAACATCTCCTAGCCACCGTGATAATGAAAGAGAGAGACGCAGACTCCAAATACACAGCAGCGGGCATCGTCAGGGTCAGGGTCAAACCCACGACCTCCTGCACACCAGGCGAGGTAGTCAACATCTCCTAGCCACGGGCAATGCAATCTCACCAGCAGCTTCGGCGTCTTCGTGTTTGACCTTCGAGCCCGGCCCCATCCCGAGGCTCGGGTGATCTTCTTCATTTTCTCGCTTGATGGTGAACAGCGACTGGGAGTGCGAAGCCATCTGAGAGGGAAAACCGATCGAGACTCAGACCCCACCCCCCTTTCACTTAAGATGTTGACACGCACACAGACACACACGTACACACGTACACACACACACGCGCACACACAACAGCAACCGCCATTCGCCACTAAGTGGCGGTGACGTCACCACGACGCTTGTGCCAGGCCATGTGCACCTTGAGGCCACGTGAAGTGTCGAACGCCCGCTGGCAGGAGGTCACGGGGCAGACCCAGGTGCAACGGGTCGACTGACTGAGATGACTGAGATGACGAGCTGATGCACCACCTGTGCCACCTACTGTGCCAACCTGTGCTTTAGCTACCTGGCGCTCCGTTTGTTGTTGTGAGCGTCGCTCCTCCGCCCTCCGTTGTTGTTGGAGGGCGACTGCCTCTAACTGCCCAGTAGCATCCTTCACGAGCCTCCTCCACAGAGGCCGATCATGACACCGCTGGTACCAGTCATCGGCAAGTCCACTCAGCTCCACGTCCTCCTGGACCACATCACTCAATCTCTTCTCTTGCCCGTGCCATGCCCGTTTAGCCCCCTCGATCCGGCCGATCAAAAGCTGTTTCGGCATGCGGTGGCTGGGCATGTGGGCTACATGACCCAGCCAATGCAGCCTTGAATGCTGGAGCTCACCGATGGGACCTTTCAAGGATCTGTGAGTGCCTCACACAATCCAGCCTGGTTAAACCCAGGATGGATCGTAGGCAGGCCAGCCTAAATGTTTCCAACCGGCGAAGATGCTCCATTAAGGGGGTCCACGTTTCGCAAGCGTAGAGAAGGGAGGGAATGACCGTGGCTGAGAAGACCTGAAGCTTAGTGCGAAGCGACAGACCAGGTAGCTTCCACACAGTGTTATGCAACCGATGAAAAGATATTGCCGCTCGACTGATTCGGAGTAAGACCTGTGCTGTTAAACTGGAGCCGGTCATAAGCACACTGCCCAGGTATGGGAAACTCTCCACTCTCTCCACAACTGCCCCATCACCGATTGGGAGTTGTGGCGGTGGAATGTCCGATGGTACAAAATACCCAGGCAGGTGCTTAGTTTTGGTGGGGCTGATGGTAAGGCCCCATCTTTTAGTGACACGCTCCAGTCTCAGCAGCAGCGTCTCCAACTCCTCCTTTGAATGAGCAGCTATTACCAAATCATCAGCATACATAACGTGGTTGAGCAATAGGGAGCCATCCCTTGACCGTACCCGGGCATCGATCAGCCTCCCATTATATCTGTACCAAATGAAGATTCCCCCAGTACAACTATTGAAGGCTTCACGAACTACGTGGTCAAAATAGATGTTAAATAATGTGGGAGCCAGAGGACATCCCTGTCGCACCCCAAGGTGTACAGGGAATGGCTCCAACTCCCGGCCACGTAGTTTTACCCGGGCCCGCTCACCATCATGAAGGTCCTTAATGATCGTTAGCAGAGGGTCAGGGACTTCAAAAGCACGAAGAACAACCCAGAGCCCAGGCCTACTGATGGTATCATAGGCCTTGACCAGGTCAATAAAGCAGAGATGTAGGTCTTGCTGGAATTCCCTACACCTCTACTGTAGCAGACGGACAGTAAATATGGCGTCTGTGCAGGACCGCCCTTTCCTGAAACCGCATTGGGGCTCCGCAAGCCTCTCCTCAGCGTGCCTGGCGAGGCGATGTTGAATAATCCTTGCCAGGACTTTTCCCGGCACACTGAGGAGTGAGATGCCCCTGTAGTTGTTACAGTCTGTGCGGTCCCCCTTCTTAAAGAGAGGGACCACCAGGGCATCCTTCCAACCCTGCGGAACCCGTCCAGTGGTCCAGACTGTTGTTATGATGTCATATAAGGCAGTCTGTGCACAAACGCCACCCTCCCTCAGCATTTCGCTTGGGAGATCATCTCTGCCCGCTGCCTTTCCTAGTCTCAGACTCAAGATCGCCTTCAGTACTTCCTCAACAGATGGTACTTCAGCCAGCCACTCACAGGGGGTGACCTCTTCCAATATTTGAGGCACCGCAGGCTCAACAGGCTCATCCTCACTTTGTGCCACGATGTTTTCCTGGCTGAGGGATTTTCCCTCCCCCAGGACCTCACAGAAATGCTCAGCAAATCTGCAAACCTGTTCCTGGGGGTCAGAGATTGGATCACCATTTTTTACCCTAATGATGGTAATAGGTGTGGCGCGGCTGGTTACTTTTTTGATGGAGTCAAATAGAGATTTGTGATCGCGGGCCACTGAGGCAGATTCCATCTCCTCAGCAACCCACGACCACCACCCATCCTTGCAGCGCTCCACGGCTCTCCGAAACTCCGAGCGAAGGCTGCGGTAAGCCTCCTCATTCTCTGACGTGGGATTCTGTAGCCGATGACAGCGGGCCTGTCGCTTTTTCTCAACCATCCTGAACACCTCCTCTGTCAGCCAGGGTCTCTGGGGAGGTCTGGACCGCGTACCCAAAGCAGCCATTGCAGCTGCATGAGTCACAGCCCTAAACCTCGCCCATTTACCCTCAACATCAGGAGGAGTAGGGGATGATGCCAATCCCAGCCGCAAGCAATGATGAAATTCTCGCTTGCAAGTTTCATCAGATAACTCAGACCAGGCCACTTTAGGTTGGAATGGGGTCCTGGGTGTACACCCACCACCGGAGTGGAAGAATGGCAGGCGCATCTTACAGATGACTAGTCGATGGTCAGAGGGTAGATCAGCTCCACGGTAGGTCCTGGTGTCAAGGACATGGGCTCGCATCCGCGGGTCCGTCACTATGTAGTCCAGCAGATGTTCTTGCTTGGACCCGACATGCATCCATGATGTTGTGTAGATGTTCCGATGCCGGAACAGCGTGTTGGTAGTTACAAGCCCATGGGCTGCACAAAAATCTAGCAGCCTCCTATCGTTGTTATTGAGCTGATCTGGCCCATGCCCTCCAATCACTCCAGACCAGGTGCCAGCATCATGACCAACTCGGGCATTGAAGTCACCCAACAAGATGACTCTATCCCGAGGGGCCACTTTAGCCAGCACCTGTGACAGGAGGTCATAGAAGGCATCTGACTCATCGGCTTTGCCTGCATCCCTCCACGGATGTTCGTCTTCGGTGAGGGCATAAGTAACCACGACCACCACTCCTCGCCTCCGGTTGATGGGAAGGCGAGCCCCAAGTAGCCTGGGGCTTACAGCTTCCCACACCTCACCGCCACACTCCCACGCCCCCTTCATTCTTTTGTTCAAAAGAAGAGCCACACCCTGTTGTTTGGCAGTCTGCTGCCCCGAGTAGAGGACTGTCCACCCCTCATGGTGGCAGGAGCCAGAAACGGTCCACCGGAACTCCTGAATGCCAGAGATCCAGGCGGTACCGGGCCAGCTCCCGACATACGCACACGTACGCACACACACACACGTACAACAAAAAAACAAAGATTCCCCATATAGCCTTAACAGACTTTAGGGCCAAGTGCTGTTAGCGAGCACCTATGAAGACCGGAACGGTACATGAAGGGGTGGGTGGCCAGCACCACGCCCGACCGCCTTTGTCTCCCTAGTGGCAATGTTTACACACCACACCAGGTACTCATTTGAGGCTGAGTCGACCTGGGGAGGCCCGGGACCGGTTCAGATAATCATCACTGGTGTTGGCCGTGAGCCGGAATCGAACCCGGGTCGCCAGGTTCATAGCGCAGCGCGCTAACCGCTACACTAGTGCTCCCCACACACACACGTACACACACACGTACACACACGTACACACACACACGTACACACACGTGCACACACGTACACACACACGTACACACACACACACGTACGCACACACACGCACACGTACACACACGTACACACACACGTACGCACACGCACACACACTCATGCACACACACACGCGCGCGAGAGGCAAACACCCATGAATACTACAGGTGATAATGTATAATGCAGTGTATATTGTAGTGTATAGTAGTGTTTCGTGTAGTGTATAGTGTAGTGTATAATGCAGTGTATAATGTAGTGTATAGTGTAGTGTATAGTATAGTATATAGTAGTTTATAGTGAAGTGTATAATGCAGTGTATAATGTAGTGTATAGTAGTGCATAGTATAGTGTAGTGAATAGTAGTGTATAGTGTAGTGTATAATGCAGTGTATAATGTAGTGTATATTGTAGTGTACAGTGTAGTGTATAGTGTAGTGTATAATGTAGTGTATAGTTGTGTATAGGGTAGTGTATAGTGTAGTGTATCGTGTAGTGTATTTTTGTGTATAGTGTAGTGTATAGTAGTGTAGTGTATAGTGTAGTGTATAGTAGTGTAGTGTATAGTGTAGTGTATAATGTAGTGTTTAGTGTAGTGTTTAGTGTATAGTGTAGTGTATAGTGTAGTGTATAGTAGAGTATAGTAGTGTATAGTGTAGTGTATAGTAGTGTAGTGTATAGTGTAGTGTAGAATAGTGTAGTGTGTAGTGTATAGTAGTGTGTAGTGTAGTGTGTAGTGTAGTGTGACCCACGACTCGCTCACCACTCGAGCTCTCTTTCTCTCTCCTCTCCGTCTGTGTCTCTGTGTCTCTCTCTGTGTCTCTGTCTCTCTGTGTGTCTGTCTTTCTGTCTCTGTCTATGTGTCTCTCTCTCTGTGTGTCTCTCTGTCTCTTTGTCTCTCTCTGTGTCTCTCTGTCTCTCTGTCTGTCTGTGTCTCTGTCTCTGTGTCTCTGTCTCTCTCTGTATCTGTGTCTCTCTGTCTCTGTCTCTCTGTGTCTCTGTCTGTCTTTGTGTCTGTCTCTGTCTCTCTCTGTGTGTCTGTCTCTGTGTCTGGCTGTCTGTCTTTGTGTCTCTGTCTCTATCTCTCTGTGTCTCTGTCTATGTGTCTCTCTCTGTCTCTCTCTGTCTCTCTATCTCTGTGTCTCTGTCTATGTGTCTCTCTCTGTGTCTCTCTCTGTGTCTCTGTCTCTCTCTTTCTCTCTGTTTATGTGTCTCTGTTTCTGTGTCTCTGTTTCTGTCTCTCTCTGTCTCTCTGTGTGTCTCTGTCTCTGTGTCTCTCTCTTTGTCTCTGTCTCTGTCTGTGTCTCTGTCTGTGTCTCTATCTGTGTCTCTGTCTCTCTCTGTGTCTCTGTCTATGTGTCTCTCTCTGTCTCTCTCTGTCTCTCTATCTCTGTGTCTCTGTCTATGTGTCTCTCTCTGTGTCTCTGTCTCTCTCTTTCTCTCTGTTTATGTGTCTCTGTTTCTGTGTCTCTGTTTCTGTCTCTCTCTGTCTCTCTGTGTGTCTCTGTCTCTGTGTCTCTCTCTTTGTCTCTGTCTCTGTCTGTGTCTCTGTCTGTGTCTCTATCTGTGTCTCTGTCTCTCTCTGTGTCTCTGTGTCTCTCTGTCTGTCTCTGTGTATCTCTCTGTCTGTATATCTGTGTCTCTCTCTGTATCTCTGTGTCTCTATCTGTCTCTCTCTGTGTCTCTGTTTCTCTCTGTGTCTCTGTCTCTCTGTGTCTGTGTCTCTCTCTGTCTCTGTGTCTTTCTGTGTCTCTGTCTCTGTGTCTCTCTCTGTCTGTCTCTGGCTCTCTCTGTCTGTCTCTGTGTCTCTCTCTGTCCCTCTCTGTGTCTCTGTCTCTCTCTGTGTCTCTGTCTCTGTGACTCTGACTCTCTCTGTCTCTGTGTCTCTCTCTGTGTCTCTGTCTCTGTGTCTCTGTCTCTGTGTTTCTGTGTCTCTCCCTGTCTGTATCTCTGTGTCTCTCTCTGTCTGTATCTCTGTGTCTCTCTCTCTCTGTCTCTCTCTCTGTGTCTCTGTCTCTGCGTCTCTGACTCTCTCTGTCTCTCTCTGTGTCTTTGTGTGTCTCTCTGTGTCTCTGTCTCTGTGTCTCTCTCTGTTTCTCTGTCTCTATCTGTGTCTCTTTCTGTGTGTCTCTCTGTGTCTCTGCCTCTCTGTCTCTGTCTCCGTCTCTCTGTCTCTGCGACTCTTCCAACCCTTCCCCCTCCTCGCTGCCTCACAGCAAACGCCAAGATGCAGCGCAAGACGAAAATTCCTGCGGGTGAGAAAATGTTGGAGCGAGAGTCAGGGGGTGAGGTGTAGTGTATAGTAGTGTAGTGTATAGTGTAATGTATAGTGTAGTGTATAGTGTAGTGTATAGTGTCGTGTATAGTAGTGTAGTGTATAGTGTAGTGTATAGTAGTGTAGTAGTGTATAGTGTCATGTATAGTGTCGTGTATAGTAGTGTATAGTAGTGTAGTGTATAGTAGTGTATAGTGTCGTGTATAGTAGTGTAGTGTATAGTGTAGTGTATAGTGTAGTGTATAGTAGTGTAGTGTGTAGTAGTGTATAGTGTAGTGTATAGTAGTGTAGTGTATAGTGGAGTGTATATTATAGTGTATTGTGTAGTGCAGGGTTCTCAAACTCAACTTACCTGGGGGCCGCTGGAGGTAGAGTCTGTGTGAGGCTGGGCCGCATCAAGTATTCAAAAAAAAAAGTATAATAAGATCCAATCTTCTCAATCTTTATTAATAACAGTTCAGAACATGAACGGTTCTTCAGAACATATGCTTCTCTCACCTACTCCTTGCTGCCAGAGACCTGGCAGCACTTCCTCTTCTTACACAGCTGAGCCACATTTGCCTAGAGGGAGGAAGCAATTGAGACCCTCAGTATTGCTTGAAGATGCTCATCAGCAAGTTTGGACCGGTACTTTGACTTATTTAATGTTCGTGGTGCAGAAGAGCTTTTTTTCACGCAGATACGTGCTCCCAAAAAGGTGCATGGTCCGCTTGAACATCCTGGAAAGCTCAGGGTTAGGTGGGGGGGCAATTCTCTCAAAAAATTGGCCAAGCTTGTCTGCTTTTGCACTCACCTCCCTGAACTTGGCCTTTGAGTTCAGAATTTGCACTGCAGGTCAATTAGCTCCATTTGAAGCACAGGAGGGGCAGGCATCTTGCACATCGAAGGAGAAGGGGTCAGCAAAATATTTGAAAAGTGGCTCTGTGTGTCTTGAAGTCTGCAAACCTGTGATCAAATTCCTCCTGTAGCTTTACAATGGCATCGGCATACTTCTCACCACTGAATGGTGTGCCCGCGTCCGTGAGTGCCTTACAATACCCCCCCCCCCCTCCGCCTCAAATCACTGCACCTGAAATGAGTTAAATGATGATGTCACCCTACTGCTGCTCTATTTAAGACCGGGAGCAAGCGAGGGCTTTACCATTCTGGCGAATTGCCCGATGATGCTGGATGTAATTACCAGCGAAACGTCACAGTACTACTCAAACTGTAAATGTTGTGGATTCACTCTTCAACACACCGGTGGGCTAAAGTAGTGAACTATTTTTGTCTTTTGTCAACGTGACACTTTTTTTTGCTGATTGGCCGTGTCGGGTGGTGGAGGGTTACGACACATTTATAAATAATGCGATCTAACCCAAAAACCTTTATTATGAATAATATTGGTCGCGAAAGCCTACGTGTTAAACTGGCAGAGGTTTGTCTGAGAGAGCTGGGCTTTCCATAACACAAGTTTGTGGAGAATGCTCTGACTTTGTCATAGGCAGCACTGACAAGCTGCCCCTGGCCTTGTAACCTCTTGTTCAGTACATTCAGCTCCTGTGTGATGTCAACAAGAAAAGCTAAGGCCATGAGCCATTTGGGATCACTTAGCACAGGAACAGCCATCCCATCCTTCTCCAATGAAGGCTTTCACTTCTGCTCTCAACTAAAAAAAAACCTCTTCAAGACGTTTCCCCTGCTGAGCCAACGTACCTCGGTGAGGTAGAGCACATCCTCACACGCTGACTCTTATTTCCTCTAAAAAGGCGCGGAACTGCCGGTGCTTTAAGCCCCAGGCATCTGATATGCTTGATGGATTTCACAACGACAGACATCACATTGTCAAACTTCAGGCATTTGCTGCAAAGGGCCTGCCGATGGATAATGCAGTGCAGAGCAATGGCCTCCTCAACACCCTCCTCTTCCAGTTTTCTTTGAACAAGTGCTTTTTTTGAGCACTTCGTTTGTCTTATCATTATTAAATGTATCAATCGTGTTCTCGCTCAGGTGTTTATTACCTTTCACATTCATAAATAACGTGATCTAGACTTTCTTATTTTTGTTTACATCCTACATATCCTTCTGCTCTACCAAATCTCCCTGGATGCCATTGAGCTAACTCTGGAGTCCGTGTTACTCCACCTGTCTTAATTCTTAACATCAAGTGCATTGTCTCATGTTTTATATCTTTTAATGTCTTGCTCTTTTTGATTAAATTGCTCTTGGTAAATTCGTTTTCTTTTGCGATTGCACGTATCTGTCCTTTGTCTTTGTTTCTCTTGTAACAATAATCTATAACTTCTTCTTTAACAGGTCCCTGCAGGGTGGGCTGGTAGGAACATTGGCAAAGTAACGTCACGGTGCCTTCGAACTTCGCCTCGCAAATGGTATACGGCTGTGGGCTGTGTGTGAATTTGCCACATCTTCCAAAAGCGAAGTCCGCAAATGAGATAATGTGACTTCCAAACGTTGGGTGCAATAAGACATATCAAGTCTCTGCGCTGTCTATTGCTGATTTTACACCCAACAGCACGAGATTTCACTTCGTTAAAGTATTGAAAGGGGACGGACGGACACAATCTATTGCAGGCTGGTGCACTCAGTTTTTTTATTCTTGCCACCCATCTCATGCTATTTGCTATCCATGTAATTATTTTCCCTTTCCTATTGCAACACTCTGTTGTCTTTATTAGGTCACTGATTACTCTTGTTGAGCCCGCCCACTTCCTAAGTCCTCTGTACCTTGCACTGGGTGACAGGATATATATATTTTCCTTCCACTTGGTGTCACTCCGGAATCACGTTTCAACCAAGTGACTGACGTTGCTAATTCGCGTTGGCTAACTTGTCAACAAACACCGGAAGCTGTCACGAACCTGAGCTATGGGAATTTTTTTTTTTAAAAATTTATGTCAAGTAGGGGGTCACAAAATATTGTTCCGCGGGCCGCAACTGGCCCGCGGGTCGCGAGTTTGAGACCCCTGCACTACACTATACACTACACTATACACTACACTATACACTACACTATACACTACACTATACACTACACTATACACTACACTATACACTAATATACACTACACTATACACTACACTATACACTACACTACTATACACTACACTATACACTAATACAGATTACACTATACACTACACTATACACTACTATACACTACACTATACACTACTATACACTACACCTCACCCCCTGACTCTCGCTGCAACATTTTCTCACCCGAAGGAATTTTCGTCTTGAGCTGCATCTTGGCGTTTGCTGTGAGGCAGCGAGGAGAGGGGAAGGGTTGGAAGAGTCGCAGAGACAGAGAGACAGAGAGAGACACAGAGAGACAGAGACACAGAGAGAGACAAAGGCACAGAGAGAGACAAAGGCACAGAGACACAGAGAGAGACACAGAGATACACAGAGACAGATACAGACAGAGAGAGACACAGAGACAGACAGAGAGAGACACAGAGATACAGACAGAGAGACAGAGACACAGAGCCTGAGAGACAGAGACACAGAGAGAGACAGAGACCCAGAGATACAGACAGAGAGAGACACAGAGAGAGACACAGAGAGACAGAGACAGAGAGACAGAGAAAGACACAGAGAGACAGAGACACAGAGAGACACAGATAGAGACAGAGACACAGATAGAGACACAGATAGAGAGAGACGGAGACAGAGAGAGAGACACAGAGAGAGACAGAGTGACAGAGAGAGAGAGACAGAGACACAGATACAGAGAGACACAGAGAGACAGAGAGATAGAGAGACAGAGACACAGAGAGACAGAGACAAAGACAGAGAGACACAGAGAGAGATAGACAGAGACACAGAGATAGAGACACAGAGATAGACAAAGACACAGAGAGAGATAGAGACACAGAGACAGTCAGAGAGAGACAGAGACACAGAGACACAGACAGTGAGAGACAGAGACACAGAGACAGTGAGAGGCAGAGACACAGAGGCAGTGAGAGACAGAGAGAGAGAGACAGAGACAGAGAGACAGAGACACAGATAGACAGAGACACAGACAGAGACACAGACAAAGAGACAGACAGAGAGACACAGAGACACAGAGAGAGACAGACAGAGAGACAGAGACACAGAGAGACAGAGAGACAGACACAGAGAGACAGACAGAGAGACAGACAGAGACACAGAGAGACAGAGACACAGACGAAGACACAGACAGAGACACAGACAAAGAGACAGACAGAGAGACAGAGACACAGAGGCGCAGACAGAGACACAGAGAGACAGAGACAGAGAGACAGACACAGAGGCACAGAGAGACACAGACACAGAGACAGAGAGACAGAGACACAGAGACAGAGACACAGAGGCACAGAGAGACACAGAGGCACAGAGAGACACAGAGTGAGAGAGGTACAGACACAGAGACAGACAGAGACAGACAGAGAGACGCAGAGACAAACAAAGGCGGAGAGGAGAAAGACAAAGGCGGAGAGAGACAAAGACGGAGAGGAGAGAGACGGAGAGGTCACATGGTGAGTGAGTCGTGGGGGTCTCTGCGTTGATCGTCTCGCTCCGCGTGACGATTTTCTGAACCGGACCCTGGGCCTCCCCTAGGTCGACTCAGCCTCAACTCAGGATACTGTACACTACACTGTACACTACACTATACACTACACACGTCACTATGCACTACACTATACACTACTACACACTACACTATACACTACTATACACTACACTATACACTACACTATACACTACTACACTACACTATACAATACACTACACTATACAATACACTACACTATACACTACACTATACACTACTACACTATACACTACACTATACACTACACTATACGCTATCCCCTGTAGTCTTCGTGGGTGTTTGCCTCTCGTGCGCGTGTGCGTGCGTGTGTGCACGTGTGTTCGTGTGTGCCTGCGTGTGTGCGTGCGTGTGCGCGTGTTGGTGCGTGCGTGTGCGCGTGTGTGTGCGTATGTGTGCGTGTGTGCGTACGTGTATGTGTGTGTGCGTACGTGTCAAGGACACCAGGACTTACCGTGGAGCTGATCTGCCCTCTGACCATCGACTAGTCATCTGTAATATGCGCCTGCCATTCTTCCACTCCGGTGGTGGGTGTACACCCAGGACCCCATTCCAACCTAAAGTGGCCAGGTCTCAGTTATCTGATGAAAGTTGCAAGCGAGAATTTCATCATCGCTTGCGGCTGGGATTGGTATCGTCCCCGACTCCTCCTGATGTCGAGGGTAAATGGGCGAGGTTTAGGACTGTGACTCATGCAGCTGCAATGGCTGCTTTGGGTACGCGGTCCAGACCTCCCCAGAGACCCTGGCTGACAGATGAGGTGTTCAGGATAGTTGAGAAAAAGCGACAGGCCGACTGTCATCGGCTACAGAATCCCACGTCAGAGAATGAGGAGGCTTACCACAGCCTTCGCTCGGAGAGCCGTGAGGCGCTGCAAGGATGGGTGGTGGTCGCGGGTTGCTGAGGAGATGGAGTCTGCCTCAGTGGCCCGCGATCACAAATCTCTATTTAACTCCATCAAAAAAGTAACCTGCAGCGCCACACCTATTACCATCATTAGGGGAAAAAACGGTGATCCAATCTCCGACCCCCAGGAACAGGCTTGCAGATTTGCTGAGCATTTTTGTGAAGTCCTGGGGGAGGGAAAATCCCTCAGCCAGGAAAACATCGTGGCACAAAGTGAGGATGACCCTGCTGAGGCTGCGGTGCCTCAAATATTGGAAGAAGTCATCCCCTGTGAGTGGCTGGCTGAAGTACCATCTTTTGAGGAAGTACTGAAGGTGATCCGGAGTCTGAGACCAGGAAAGGCAGCGGGCAGAGATGATCTCCCAAGCGAAATGCTGAGGGAGGGTGGCGTTTGCGCACAGACTGCCCTATATGACATCATAACAACAGTCTGGACCACTGGACGGGTTCCGCAGGATTGGAAGGATGCCCTGGTGGTCCCCCTTTTTAAGAAGGGGGACCGCACAGACTGTAACAACTACAGGGGCATCTCACTCCTCAGTGTGCCGTGAAAGGTCCTGGCAAGGATTATTCAACATCGCCTCGCCAGGCACGCTGAGGAAAGGCTTGCGGAGCCCCAATGCGGTTTCAGGAAAGGGCGGTCCTGCACAGATGCCATATTTTCTGTCCGTCTGCTACAGCAGAGATGTAGAGAATTCCAACAAGACCTACATCTCTGCTTTATTGACCTGGTCAAGGCCTATGATACGATCAGTAGGCCTGGGCTCTGGGTTGTTCTTCGTGCTTTTGGAGTCCCTGACCCTCTGCTCATGATCATTAAGGACCTTCATGATGGTGAGCGGGCCCGTGTAAAACTACGTGGCCGGGAGTCAGAGCCATTCCCTGTACACCTTGGGGAGCGACAGCGATGTCCTCTGGCTCCCACATTATTTAACATCTATTTTGACCACGTAGTTCATGAAGCCTTCAATAGCTGTACCGGGGGAATCTCTATTTGGTACAGATATAATGGGAGGCTGATCGATGCCCGGGTGCGGTCAAGGGATGGCTCCCTATTGCTCAACCACGTTATGTATGCCTATGATTTAGTAATAGCTGCTCATTCAGAGGTGTAGTTGGAGATGCTGCTGCTGAGACTGGAGTGTGCCACTAAGAGATGGGGCCTTACCATCAGCCCCACCAAAACTAAGCACCTGCCTCCACAACTCCCCGATGGGGCAGTTGTGGAGAGAGTGGAGAGTTTCCCATACCCGGGCAGTTTGCTTATGACCGGCTCCAGTTTAACAGCAGAGGTCTCACTGCGAATCAGTCAAGCGGCAATATCTTTTCATCGGCTGCGTAACGCTGTGTGGAAGCTACCTGATCTGTCGCTCCGCACTAAGCTACAGGTCTTCTCGGCCACGGTCATTCCCTCCCTTCTCTACGCTTGCGAAACGTGGACCCCCTTAATGGAACATCTTCGCCGGTTAGAAACATTTAGGCTAGCCTGTCTACGATCCATCCTGGGTTTAACCAGGCTGGATTGTGTGAGGAGCTCACAAATCCTTGAAAGATCTGGGCAAGGTCCCATCGGTGAGCTCCTCCGGCAGACAAGGCTGCGTTGGCTGGGTCATGTAGCCCGCATGCCCAGCCACCGCATGCCGAAACAGCTTTTGTTCGGCCGGATCGAGGGGGCTAAATGGGCATGGCACGGGCTAGAGAAGCTATTGAGTGATGTGGTACAGGAGGACGTGGAGTTGAGTGGACTTGCCGATGACTGGTACCAGCGGTGTCAAGATCGGCCTCTGTGGAGGAGGCTCGTGAAGGACGCTACTGGGCAGTTAGAGGCAGTCGCCCTCCAAAACATCGGAGGGTGGAGGAGCGACGCTCAAAACAACAAGCGGAGCGCCGGGTGGCTAAAGCACAGCAGGTTGGCACAGTAGGGGGCACAGGTGGTGCACCGGCCAGTCATCTCAGTCAGTCGACCCGTGGCACTTGGGTCTGCCCCGTGACCTCCTGCCAGCGGGCGTTCGTCACTTCACGTGGCCTCAAGGTGCACATGTCCTGGCACAAGCGTCGTGGTGACGTCACCGCCACTTAGTGGCGAATGGCGGTTGTTGTTGTGCGCGCGTGTGTGTGTGTGTGTGTACGTGTGTGTGTACGTGTGTGTGTGTACGTGTGTGTCTGTGTGCGTGTCAACATTTTAAGTGAAAGGGGGGCAGGGTCTGAGTCTCGATTGGTTTTCCCTCTCAGATGGCTTCGCACTCCCAGTCGCTGTTCACCATCAAGCGAGAAAACGAAGAAGATCACCCGAGCCTCGGGATGGGGCCGGGCTCGAAGGTTAAACACGAAGACGCCGAAGCTGCTGGTGAGATTGCGTTGCCCGTGGCTAGGAGATGTTGACTACCTCGCCTGGTGTGCAGGAGGTCGTGGGTTCGACCCTGACCCTGACGATGCCCGCTGCTGTGTATTTGGAGTCTGCGTCTCTCTCTCTCTCTGTCATCATCATCATCACGGTGGCTAGGAGATGTTGACTACCTCGCCTGGTGTGCAGGAGGTCGTGGGTTTGACCCTGACAACACCTGCTGCTGTATATTTGCAGTCTGCATCTCTCTCTCTGTCATCATCACGGTGGCTAGGAGATGTTGACTAGCTCGCTTGGTGTGCAGGAGGTCGTGGGTTTGACCCTGACCCTGACGATGCCTGCTGCTGATGTATATTTGGAGTCTGCGTGTTCTCTTCCCGTGGTGGCGTGGAATTTTTTTCTCCGGATCCTCCGGTTTTCCCTTTGCCTCCACGTTTAGAGTCAGCGTCACAAGTTGAGAGTATTTGGCCGTGTAAGAATATATGTTTTACACTTTCTGGCAGTCAAACAGGAGGCGTTCAGATGTCAAAACGCCAAACTGAAACCTTTAGCGAGGAATCAAGTTACTGCATTAACCACACACAACACAGTACTTGTGGTGAACATGCAAACAAACACCACGCTCCGGTAGTAGATGATGATGATGCATTGTCTTTGAAACTGATTGGTCCACAGCTTTCTTTAGAGCCCCGTCTCAAACAGTCTTAGACCAGAGGACCACACCACAAGACGGACAGCACAAAGACAATGCCACTATGAATTTCGATTTAAAGCTTGGGTGACTGCAGGGATTCATCTTCTTGGTTCTTTCGGTAAAGTCACCACGTAGAATGGGAATAAAATAATAAAAATAAGACGTAATAAAATTAAAAAGTAAAGTAATTATTACGTTTTATTTTTTATTATTTTATTTCCATTCTACGTGACTTTACTGAAAGAACCAAGAAGATGCTGCTATGAACTTTAAGGCCACGGGGTCTCCAACCCCGCGGGGCCGCGGGCCGGTACCGGTCCGTGATGCCTGTTAGGAACCGGGCCGCACGGCACGAGGCGAGAGCGGTGGGCGAGCGAGCGAAGCTTCACCGTCCGTGTTGACAGCGGCTCCCCATCGCTCGGAATTACCGCCTGAGCTCAGCCTCCTGTCGGATCAGCGGCGGCGTTAGATTCTCAACGGGAGCGCAAACCCCGACTGTAAAACCGCGCACGCGAGGGATCGAGGTTTGCGCGCTCCTCGTGAGAAGTCAGAATCCCACACTTATTTGAGTCCCCGCGTGCCCCCCCCCCCCCCATTATTTTATTGACCACTTCCGTCCGCGCCTTTTCCCCCGCACCGCGCGCTGTCACAGTCGCGCGGTGTTGGTGAGCCCACAAGCTGACCCCTAGTGGCCACAATGAGTACAAAACAAACGTCGCCGGAGAGCTTCTTTGAAAAGGGGGAGGAAAGACCCCAATGCTGAACACCCCCCCCCCCCCGGTCTGTGAACAAATAACAAATTGTCGTGGACCGCTCTGTTAGGTCTTCTTTGGTTCTTTCGGTAAAGTCACGACGTAGAATGAGAATAAAATAATAAAATAAACCAATAAAATTCTCACGACGTTTACCTGAAGAACCAAAGAAGATGTCCTTGCAGTCACGAAAGCTTTAAATCGCTCTGTTAGGCTCCTCTGAATCCCCACGTGGTTGAGTTGTCATTTGTTGATGGCCAGGTCGCTTCTGAAAAATGAGCTGCTACACAGTCCAGTGGGGCCTCTTGCTCCGGCCTAAAATAAAATAGTCCCCAGAGGCCGGGATAGAGCCTCGGGCTCCACGTCAAAAGGAATCGGGCACCACGGGAATTTTGATTGAGGGCCGTCGTTAAGACCCGGACTGGGATCGCATCAGCTCCTAGCGACGCTTGCCCCCGACACCGCCACTTGACCGTTGACGATTCGCCATCACGACGTCCATATGACCGACGCCCTCGGCGACTGGGACGGCTGGATGCGCGCGGGGAATGCGTGGCGAACGTTTGCGTCGTACCGTCGTGTCCCGCATAACGGAGCTCATCACGTGAACTGTGTACGGCCACAACGTCACCCCCCGTGTCCCAGATAACGGAGCTCATCAGGTGAACCGTGTGGCGCCAAAACACGCCATCGATAAAGCCACTACGGGCAAAGTCTTCCCGTAGTCGCCGTCTCTGACCCTCCCCACTACGATCCGTGAGGGCCTCGTCACCGTGAGACGAGGCCTTCTCTGTGCCGATGTCTCTGTGCCGATGTCTGTGCCAACTTGTGTGCCAACGTGTGTGCCAATGTCTGTGCCGATGTCTGTGCCGATGTCTGTGCCGACGCCTGTGCCGACGTCTGTGCCGATGTCTGTGTCAATGTCTCTGTGCCAATGTCTGTGCCGATGTCTGTGCCGATGTCTGTGCCGATGTCTGTGCCGATGCGCACTTTTGCAGGCGCCGTCGTGAAGCAGGAGGACGAGGGGAGCCTGAGCCCCGAGATCCTGAGGATCGTGGTGAAAACGGAAGTGGAGGATGACGGTGAGGCCCCCTTTCCCTACGACAGCTTTGAGATTGTTAGGAACCAAACCGTGGCAGGATGCCAATGCAGCGGTCCCTCGGTTTAACGATGCCACGGGGCAACGATGTTTAGACTCGCGATCCGCCTCCCATGCGGTTCCCCTTGTTTCTGTTCGCGATACTTTTTTTTGTTTTTATCGACGGCGCGTTGTACGATATCACACGGAGCCGCAAATTTCGGCCAATCGGAGCGCTCCCGAGTGGACCCGGCAGGCCTCAGCCAATCAGCGACCACCGCCCCTTTTACGAGCGTTTTGGGGGCGGCTGGCTTGCGGGCTTTTCCATGTTTGATGTTGCGTTGCTTCTGGAAACAGCTCTCTTGAATACTTGAGCCATCCGTCTTCTCGGCCTAAGGTAAGACTTTTTATTTTATGAATACCGCGTCAACCCATACGCTTTACCCCGTATTCTTGTACGGGGAAATTGAGTGTTTCAGGTCCATACGGCGTACAGCCGTTTCAATACGGGCAACATTATTTTGTCTATTTGTTTATATTTCTCTCGCTTGTGATGGGACTTTGTAGGATGAACGTTGAGATACATTAGGGGGTCACGGGGTGACCAATAAGGTCTGAGTTGGTCTGTAATGAGGTAGGGCGCTGATAAGTGATTGACGTGTATGTTTCTGCGCTTTATGCACCTTTTTATGCCCTATTTATGCATTATTTATTCATGTTTCTACTAAAATTAATGCTTTAACATGTTTTTACAACGTTTATTTGTTAAGCTTGCATGTTGAAACGTGATGAAAAACAGTACCTTTTAGGGTGAAAAAGGTTAAACTCACGATCAAATTAAGCCTTCAACGTGCATTCGCTATGTTCGATTCACGATAATTTTGCTTAACGACGTTTTTTTCCCGCGGAACCAACGAAACACCGTTAACCGAGAGACCAACTCCCATCAGTTAATACGCGGAAGGGGCAACGTCCCCAGCTGACAGCTTGACTGCACGATCTTCGGGTGCGTTTCACCCCCCCCACCCCCCAACTCGTCCAAAGCCCAGTGGCGCTTTTTCTGACGTTGCAGCCACAGAAGCAATCGAGGGGCCGCGTGAGACGGAGGATTCTCACGGATGTCTCTTTGCCGCGGACCAAAACTTCATCGAGGTGGAGTTGTCGGAGGAGGATGTCGGTGAGCCTGAGCTGCACTACATTCGGAGTTTCGTTGGTGTCTCTCTCTCTCTCCCCGAGGTGGCGTGGAATTTTCCCCGGCTCCTGCGGTTTTCCCCTCCCCGTTTACAATCGGCGTCGCGCGTTGAGGTTAATTTTGTTACTGTAGACTCCCACGTGATAAGCCACTTGTGGTGAGCTGCTATCATTCGTGTGGTGGCCATGTCGCTTATTTGACAAAGAACACACAGCTCAGTGGGGCTTACTTGGTAAAATAAAAAGTGTAGTTTTAGCGTATAGACTCATTACATGAAGACACATAGAGTCATCACACAGAGACCCATAGACTTATTACGTAGCGACCCATAGACTCATTACATAGAGACCCATAGACTCGTCACACAGAGACCCATAACCCCATCACACAGAGACCCATAGACTCATTACATGAAGGCGCATAGACTCATTACATAGAGACCCATAGCCTCGTTACATAGAGACCCATAGACTAACTACACAGAGACCCATAGCCTCATCACACAGAGACCCATAGGGTCATTACACAGAGACCCATAGACTCATTACATAGAGACCCATAACCTCATCACACAGAGACTCATAGAGTCATCACACAGAGACCCATAGACTCATTATGTAGATACCCTTAGACTCATTACATAGAGACCCATAAACTCATTACATTAGACCCATAGACTCGTCACACAGAGACCCATAGAGTCATCACACAGAGACCCATAGACTCATTATGTAGATACCCTTAGACTCATTACATAGAGACCCATAAACTCATTACATAGAGACCCATAGCCTCATCACACAGAGACCCATAGAGTCATCACACAGAGACCCATAGACTCATTATGTAGATACCCTTAGACTCATTACAAAGAGACCCATAAACTCATTACATAGAGACCCATAGACTCGTCACACAGACACCCATAACCCCATCACACAGAGACCCATAGACTCATTACATAGAGTCCCATTGACTCATTACATAGAGACCCATAGACTAATTACATAGAGACCCATAACCCCATCACACAGAAATCCATAGACTCATTACGCAGAGACCCATAACCCCATCACACAGAGACCTATAACCCCATCACACAGAGACCCATAGACTCATTACATAGAGACCCATAGCCTCATTACATAGAGACCCATAGACTCATCAAATGCAGACCCATAGACTCATCACATAGAGACCCATAGAGTCATCACACAGAGACCCATAGACTCATTACACAGAGACCCATAGACTAATCACATAGAGACCCCTAGACTCATTACATAGAGACCCATAGACTCATTACATAGAGACCCATAGACTCATTACACAGAGACCCATGACCCCATCACACAGAGACCCATAGACTCATTACATAGAGTCCCATTGACTCATTACATAGAGACCCATAGACTAATTACATAGAGACCCATAACCCCATCACACAGAAATCCATAGACTCATTACGCAGAGACCCATAACCCCATCACACAGAGACCTATAACCCCATCACACAGAGACCCATAGACTCATTACATAGAGTCCCATTGACTCATTACATAGAGACCCATAGACTAATTACATAGAGACCCATAACCCCATCACACAGAAATCCATAGACTCATTACGCAGAGACCCATAACCCCATCACACAGAGACCTATAACCCCATCACACAGAGACCCATAGACTCATTACATAGAGACCCATAGCCTCATTACATAGAGACCCATAGACTCATCAAATGCAGACCCATAGACTCATCACATAGAGACCCATAGAGTCATCACACAGAGACCCATAGACTCATTACACAGAGACCCATAGACTAATCACATAGAGACCCCTAGACTCATTACATAGAGACCCATAGACTCATTACATAGAGACCCATAGACTCATTACACAGAGACCCATGACCCCATCACACAGAGACCCATAGACGTTTAGAGTATTTGACTGCTGCTATAAATGTCCACGTGATGACATCAGCCACTTTGTTGAGCTATCACTGTGTGATGGCCAGGTCGCTTCTGAAAAAGATCGACTACGTAGCTCAGTGGGGCGTTACACCTGGTAACGTACAAAGTTTAGTTTTAGTTTGATAACGTGACAGACAAAATGCAACGTCTTCTTGCTTGTATCGCCGGCCGTATGTCCCAGACGTGCCACGAGCTGAAGCGATGTCCACTGTGGGACTCGTACGCTTGGCATAATCCGGCGTCGTTTGAGAGAAAACGGCCACCGTTTTGTTTTTGGCGGAGTGAAAACCCGGGCCAACGCAGAGGGGGGGGGGGGGGGCGCTTCAAAACATTGGAGGAAGTAGCCGCCCTCTGCGAGTGGCCGGCTAGTGGGAGACTCGTCGGGGCACATCTCGCAGGTCGCCCGTCTGTTGTGTGGCAGCAAAAGCATTGGCGACGAGAGGTGACATAAACTACGCGTGGGGCTGTCACACGAAGCGTGCGTGTGGCCGGGTGTGCGTGTCTGTGCGTGTCCTGTGTGTGTCGTGTGTCCTGTGCGTGAATCTCTGTGTGCGTTTGTGTTTAGCGGTGGTGAGTTGTGGGAAGCTGTAAGCCCCAAGGTGCTGTGGGATAGCTTTCCCCATTAAACGGGAGGCGAGCAATGGTGGTGGTGGTTACTTACGCCCCCACCGAAGATGAACGTCATTGGAGGGTTTCAGGCAAGGCCGATGAGTCAGATGGCTTCTATGACCTACTGTCACAGGTGCTAGCTAAAGTGGCACCTCGGGATAGAGTCATCCTGTTGGGTGACATTAATGCCCGAGTTGGTCATGATGCTGGCACCTGGTCTGGAGTGATTGATAAAGGCATGGGCCAGATCAGCTCAATAACAACGGTAGGAGGCTGCTAGACTTTTGTGCAGCCCATGGGCTTGTAATTACCAACACGCTGTTCCGGCATCGGCGCATCCACACAACATCATGGATGCATGCCGGGTCCAAGCAAGAACATCTGCTGGACTACATAGTGACGGACCAGCAGATGCGAGCCCATGTCCTTGACACCAGGACCTACCGTGGAGCTGATCTGCCCTCTGACCATCGACTTGTCATCTGTAAGATGAGCCTGCCATTCTTCCGCTCCGGTGGTGGGTGTACACTCCATCAAAAAAGTTACTTGCAGTGCCACACCTTTCACCATCCTTAGGTGAAAGAAAGGTGATCTCCGACCCCTTGGACCAGGTTTGCAGATTTGCGGAGCATTTCTGAGTTCTTTGGGGAGGGGAAATCCCTTCGCCTGGAAAACATCATGGGGCAATTGGGGATGACTCTTCTGAGGCTGCGGTGCCTCAAATATTGGAAGAAATAGTCACCCCCTGGGCATGGCTGGCCAAAGTGCCATCTGTTGAGGAAGTACGGAAGGTGATTTAATGTCTGAGACCAGGAAAAGGGTGGTGTTTGTGTGCAGACCGCCTTATGTGACAATAACAGTTTGGACCACTGGACGGGTTCCGCAGGATTGGAAGGATGCCCTGGTGGTCCCCATCTTTTAGAAGGGGGACCGCACAGACTGTAACAAATACAGGGGCATCTCCCTCCTCAGTGCCGGGAAAGGTCCTGGCAAGGATTATTCAACATCGCCCCTTGCCAGGCACGCTGAAGAGAGGCTTGCGGAGCCCCAATGTGGTTTCAGGCCAGGGCGGTCCTGCACAGACGCCATATTTTCTTCATAATAAACTTTTTTGGGTTAGATCGCGTTATTTATAAATGTGTAGATGTACACCCACAAAAAAGTTGTAAATGTTGTGGATTCACTCAACACACCGGTGGGCTAAAGTAGTGAACTATTTGTCTTTTGTCAACGTGACACTTCTTTTACTGAGTGACCATGTCAGGTGGTGGAGGGTTACGACACATTTATAAATAACGTGATCTAACCCAAAAACGTTTATTGTGAAGAATATTGGTCGCGAAAGCCTAAATGGTTAAACCTCCACATTTTCTGTCCATCCGCTACAGCAGAGGTGTAATGAATTCCAGCAAGACCTACATATCTGCTTTATTGACCTGGTCAAAGCCTATGAGACCATCAATAGGCCTGGGCTCTGGGTTGTTCTTCATGATTTCGGTGTCCCTGACTCTATGTTCACAATTATTACGGACCTACATTATGGAGGGCGGGCCCGGATAAAGCTACGTGACCGGGAGTCGGAGCCGTTCCCTGTTCACCTTGGGGTGTGACAGGGATGTCCTCGTACACCTACATTATTTTACATCTAATTCAATCACGTAATTCGAGAAGTGTTCCATGACTGTACCAGAGGAATTTCCATCTGGTACAGATACAATGGGAGACTGATTGATGCCCGGGTGCAGTCGAGGGAGCGCTCCCATTGGTCAACCATGTTATGTATACTGATGATCTGGTGATTGCTGCTCACTCTGAGGAGGAGTTGAAGGCACTGCTGCTGAACCTGGAGCATGCTACCAAGAGGTGGGGCCTCATCATAAGCCCCTCCAAATCTAAGCACCTGCTTGGTTATTTTGTGCCATACTCCACCCCTTCAACTCCCCATTGGTGTTGTGGAAGTTGTGCAAACAGTGGAGAGTTTTCCATACCTGAGCAGTGTGCTTATGACCAGCTCTGCTTTGACAGCAGAGGTCTCACTCCAAATCAGTCGAGCTGCATTATCTTTTCATCGGTTGCGTAACGCTGTGTGGAAGCTACCTGGTTTGTTGCTCCACAAGAAGCTTCAGGTCTTCTCGGCCACAGTCATTCCCTTCCTTTTCTATTTTTGGAACATAATTCGCTGGTTCGAAACATCCAGGCTGGCCTGCCTACGATCCATCCTAGTTTTAACCAGGCTGAATTATGTGAGGAGCTCACAAATCCTTGAAAGATCTGGACAAAGTCCCATCAGTGAGCTTCTCCGGCAGGCAAGGCTGCGTTGGCTGGGTCATGCCGCCTACTTGCCCAGCCACCGCATGCCTAAACAGCTTTTGTTCAGCTGGTTAGAGGGGGCTAAACAGGTGTGGGACTGGCTAGAGAAGAGATGGAGTGATGTGGTACAGGAGGATGTGGAGCTTAGTGGACTCACAATAACTGGAACCAGCGGTGTCACGATCGGCCTCTGTGGAGGAGGCTCGTGAAGGACGCTACTGGGCAGTTGGAGGCAGTCGCCCTCCAAAAACAACGGAGGGCGGAGGAGCGACGCTCACAACAACGAGCGGAGCGCCGGGTGGCTAAAGCACAGCAGGTTGGCACAGTAGGGGGCACAGGTGGTGCATCAGCCAGTCATCTCAGTCAGTCGACCCGTGGCACCTGGGTCTGCCCCGTGACCTCCTGCCAGCGGGTGTTCGACACTTCACGTGGCCTCAATGTGCACCTAGCCTGGCACAAGCGCCGTGGCGACGTCACCGTCACTTCGTGGCGAATGGCGGTTGTTGTCACGTGGAGTGCGGGGAGCGGCAGTGTAGCGGTTAGCGCTACAAACCCGGCGACCTGAGTTCGATTCCCGTTCACGGCCACCAACACCGGTGACGGCGATTATCTGAACCGGTCCCGGGCCTCCCGTACGCCAAAGAAAAGGGAAGCTGCGGAGCTAGAGCCTTAACGGCGCTGCCGTTCGCCGAACCCCGGCACCTTGTCGTTCTTCGTGTCGTTCAACATCGAACTCTGCATTTTGCGGCGGACGACGCGACAGGAGCGGAACTCCTGTGCGAGGAGTGCGAGGCGGGCGGGCGACCTCCGGGGACGGGGACGGACGACGCCGGACGCGCGGCCGCCACGCCGGGAGCCTCCTGCGCCCGGTGCGGCAAGCCGCTGGGAGCCGCGGCGCCGCCGTGCGCGGCGGTCGCCGGCGACCGGCGGAGGCACGCGTGCGCCGACTGCGGGAAGGAGTTCGCGCAGCGCTCCCACCTGGAGGAGCACGCGAGGACGCACACGGGCGAGAAGCCGCACGCGTGCACGGAGTGCGGGAAGAGGTTCGTGACGCGCTACAACTTGGAGACGCACTTCATATCGCACACCGGGAAGTGGCCGCACGTGTGCAAGGAGTGCGGCAAGGGCTACGCGCAGCGCTACTCCTTGGAGGAGCACCGGAGGACGCACACGGGCGAGAAGCCGCACGTGTGCACCGAGTGCGGCAAGGGCTTCACGCGGTCGTCCGACCTGAAGATCCACTTCAGGATTCACACGGGCGAGAAGCCGCACGTGTGCGCCGAGTGCGGCAAGGGCTTCGTGCAGAGCTCCCACCTGGAGGCGCACGCCGGGAAGCACGCGAGCGAGAAGCCGTACGCGTGCGCCGAGTGCGGCAAGGGGTTCACGCGCTCGTCCGACCTGAAGATCCACCGCAGGACGCACACGGGAGAGTGGCCTCACGCGTGCGCCGAGTGCGGCAAGGGCTTCGCGAGGTCGTCCGACCTGAAGATCCACCGCAGGACGCACACGGGCGAGAAGCCGCACGTGTGCGCCCAGTGCGGCCGCGGCTTCGCGCTGTCCTCCCACCTGGAGAGGCACGCGAGGACCCACACGGGCGAGAGGCCGCACGCTTGCGAGGAGTGCGGCAGGGCGTTCTCGCAGCGCTCCTCCCTGGAGGCGCACACCAGGACCCACACGGGCGAGCGGCCGTACGCGTGCGACCAGTGCGGCAAGGCCTTCGCCCTCCGCGCCACCCTCAACGCGCACGCGAGGACCCACACGGGCGAGAGGCCGCACGCGTGCAAGGAGTGCGGCAAGGCGTTCTCGCAGAGCTCCTCGCTGGAGGCGCACGCCAGGACCCACACGGGAGAGCGGCCGTACGCGTGCGACCAGTGCGGCAGGGCCTTCGCCCTCCGCGCCACCCTCAACGCGCACGCGAGGACCCACACGGGCGAGTGGCCGCACGCGTGCGCCGAGTGCGGCCGGGGCTTCGCGCAGCGCTCGGATCTGGAGAAGCACCGGAGGACGCACAGCGGCGAGAAGCCGTACGTGTGCAAGGAGTGCGGCAGGGGCTTCGGGCAGAGTTCCACGCTGACGGCGCACGTGAGGACGCACACGGGCGAGAAGCCGCACGTGTGCAAGGAGTGCGGCGAGGGGTTTGCGCAGAGCGGTCATCTGAAGAGGCACTCAAAGACGCACGCGCTCGAGTGAAAACCTTGCGTGTCCCGAATGGGGGTTTTGTTTTTTTTGCCTCCCATTTGAAAACCAGTGGGGGATCGTTTTGCCGCTTTCCGTATATACAGGGTGCTTCAAAAAGTGTTTTAACACTGATATGGAAAAAAGAACAGATAATGCACCGTAACATGATAACAAATGCCCTTTGGTCCTTCCGTTAAAGTCACGTAGGTAGAAACAATAACAGATCACGACATTCTGATCGCAACGCAAGCAATCGTCATCAGGCGGAAGAAAGAGAGAGGCTGCTTGATGCAAGCTCACATTGACATGCAAATCACATTTACACATTCTTGTTTTTTTCGGTAAAGTCACCACGTAGAAGGGAAACAATAAAATAACAAAGATATGAAACAATAAAATTCTCACGACGTTTTGACTGCAGCACGAGCAGCAATCGTCATCAGGTGCGAAAACCACAGCAAGAAAATTTGAAAAAAGTGGCGGTTATTGTTGCCCTTCTACGTGGTGACTTTACCGAAAGAACCAAGAATAAAGAGTCTCCCACTTAAATTTTGATTTAAAGCTTTCGTGACTGCAGCGATTCATATTCTTGGAAACAATAAAAAAATATATCAAACAATAAAATTCTCACGACATTTCGACTGTAACACAAAGTCTTCATCACACCTCATCATCACACCTGATGATGACTGTTTGTGTTGCAGTCGAAACGTCGTGAGAATTTTATTGTTTTAAATAATATTTTATTATTTTATTGTTTCCCTTCGTGGTGACTTTACCGAAAGAACCAAGAATATGAATCACTGCAGTCACGAAAGCTTTAAATCAAAATTTAGTCTCCCACTCGTTCGCCATCGTTGTCAACTCACGCCTGGAATCTTCCCCAGGTGGTCCTCCAGAGCCCGGAGGGGCACATTTCTCGTGGTATCATTGCAAATTCTCACAAGTGTCATCACTTTTTTTTGAAGCACCCTGTATATACTTCTTTTGTTTCATCGCAGACTCTTAAGCCGTACAGTTTAACACCTTAGCAGTAGTAGTAGTAGGCGTTCGCGACCAATATTATGCATATTATAGGGGTTATTCTGGGTTAGATCGCGTACATTTAAATGCCGTGTCGTTGAACCTGACGTCACCGCCCGACACTGCCAATTAGTAAGGGGTTTGTCACGGAAACAAAACGTGCCAATTCATGACTAGTACAGCACTAACCGGTTTGTGTGTCGTAGAGTAAACCCACTACAACGTTTAGAATTCGAGTGCCGTGACATCCAGCCTCGTCAGGCGACGGCCAGAGTTGTTGTTTAACCAGGCTGCTCCTATTGTTGGTTCTTTCGGTAAAGTCACCACGTAGAAGGGAAACGATAAAAGAATAAAAATATAAAACGATACAATTCTCACGACGTTTTCGACTGCAAAACGAGCAACCATCATCAGGTGTGAAAACCACAGCAAGAAAATTTGAAAAAAGTGGCGTTTTTTTTTTTTTTTCAAATTTTCTTGCTGTGGTTTTCACACCTGATGATGATTGCTGCTTGTGTTGCAGTCGAAACGTCGTGATAATTTTATTGTTTTATATTTTTGTTATTTTATCGTTTCCCTTCTACGTGGCGACTTTACCGAAAGAACCAAGAATGTGAATTCCCTGCAGTCACGAAAGCTTTAAATAAAAATTCAGGCTGCTCCTGTTTCGGTTTTAAGTAAACGATACATTTTCAGAATGATAACGAATCACCTCCACAAGCGGATAGATGATCTGGGGAGCAGACCGACCAGGGTCACTCACCCCTTATGCACTCGCCGATGGATCGGTGAACCCAGTGCCCACGTGACCGCAACGCTTGCCAAAGTAAACCGATTGCGTTTGTAAAGGAAAAAAAAAGAAAAACCAACGGATGACAACTTCAACATCTTCACCCCTATTCTTGGTTCTTTCGGTAAAGTCACCACGTAGAAGGGAAACAATAAAATAATAAAAATGTAAAACAATAAAATTCTCACGACGTTTCGACTGCAACACGAGCAGCAATCGTCATCAGGTGTGAAAACCACGACAATAATTGTTCTTGCTTTGGTTTTCACACCTGATGACGATTGCTCGTGTTGCAGTCGAAACGTCGTGATAATTTTATTGCTTTATATTTTTATTATTTTATCGTTTCCCTTCTACGTGGTGACTTTACCGAAAGAACTAAGATTATGAATCCCTGCAGTCACGAAAGCTTTAAATCAACATCTTCACCCCTGTTCTACATCGGCAAGTAATACACGAGGTTCGGAAGACTTTGGGATGTATATACTTTTTTTCCGTCTTGATGAATCCTTCATTTTCATTCTCAGTCAGGCCGCGTTCACTCATTCCGCCCCCTCGTTCAGTGACTCATCCCATACAGTAGCCCAATGCCCTTGCTCGCTCTCCCCTCCATTGACACGCTCGCACGTTCTTTTCCATTTGTGCAACTTGAGGTTTTCTGGTTGAACGGCAGCGGACAAAACTCGCGATTTTTGCAACACGCGCGGACGCTCCTCGGGATTGCGGGTCGTTGGATTTCGAACGTAGCGACCGATGGGGTACAGTCGTGAACCCAGGCGGCAGGGGGATAGATGGGGTGGGGGTGGGGGAGAGTGAGTTTGACAAATACAGGAAGCTACAGATTTCCCGCCGCGTTAATGAAGGGGAGGACTGGTCGCGGATAATCCAACATCGTGGATAATCCAACGAATATCGCATTTTCCGCGAATCTCCATGCCAAAAAACAACTCGTATAGGTATACATTTTAAGTTAAGAAAATGTAGTTTGTTAATGAGAAGAACAAACATTTGTGGTCAATCAAACTCAGCCCCACGAAGTAGATAACAGAGCCACAGCCAATCAGCATCAATCAAACTCAGCTCCACTAAGTGGATGATAGCAGAGCCACAGCCAATCAGCATCCATAAAACTCAGCCCCACTAAGTGGATGATAGCAGAGCCACAGCCAATCAGCATCAATCTAACTCAGCCCCACGGAGTGGATGATAGCAGAGCCACAGCCAATCAGCATCAATCAAACTCAGCCCCACTAATTGGATGATAGCAGAGCCACAGCCAATCAGCATCAATCAAACTCAGCCCCACTGAGCGCATGACAACAGAGCCACAGCCAATCAGCATCAAACTCAGCCTCACTGAGCGCATGACAACAGAGCCACAGCCAATCAGCATCAATCAAACTCAGCCCCACTGAGCGCATGACAACAGAGCCACAGCCAATCAGCATCAAACTCAGCCCCACTGAGTGTATGACAGCAGAGCCACAGCCAATCAGCATCAATCAAACTCAGCCCCACTGAGTGGATGACAGCAGAGCCACAGCCAATCAGCATCAATCAAGCTCAGCCCACCGTTGTAAAGTTATGGCAACTACTGTACTGTAGGGGCGATGGCGTTGAATTCAGATGAACTGGAGCAACATATTTGTCCGGTTTAAGCACAGTGTGACTTGTAGTGAACATTCCCAAAAATGTATAACTGCTTTTAGAATATTAATTTGGGCTTAAGGGGAAATCCACGAGTTATTGATTCATTCATAATAAAGGTTTTTGGGTTAGATCGCGTTTATTTATAAATGTGTCGTAACCCTCCACCACCCGACACGGCCAATCAGCAAAAAAAGTGTCACGTTGACAAAAGACAAATAATTCACTACTTCAGCCCACCGGTGTGTTGAAGAGTTAATCCACATTTACAGTTTGAGTAACGTGACACGTCTTTTTTTTTGCTGATTGGCCGTGTCGGGTGGTGGAGGGTTACGACACATTTATAAATAAACGCAATCTAACCCAAAAACCTTTATTATGAATAATATTGGTCGCGAAAGCCTACGTGTTAAACTTATTGATTCATGTCAAAATTTCGGGCGCGCGGGTTAATCCGCAAATCGGATAAACCGCACAAGCGGATAATCGAGAAAAACGACAACAGACGGGGGGAGGGGTTGGAGGACTGGAGCAGGGGGCTGGTGGAGGGGGTTAGGGGGCGTTGAGGATTGAAGGGGGTCTCTACGGGTAGGGAGACGCACGGGCAGGAGACAAGGAGCGAACACGACAGGGGGTGGAGAGAGAGAGGGGGGGGGAGACGGCATCAAATGGTCCCGGGTGTGTGTGTATGTAGTGGGTGTAGTGTGTGTATGTAGTGTGTGTAGTGTTTGTGTGTAGTGTATGCGTATAGTGTGTGTAGTGTTTGTGTGTGTGTAGTGTGTGCAGTGTGTGTGGTGTGTGTGTGTGGTGTGTGCATGTGTGTGTGTAGTGTGTGTGTAGTGTGTGTGTGTCGTGTGTGTAGTGTGTGTGTGTCGTGTGTGTAGTGTGTGGTGTGTGTGTGTAGTGTGTGCAGTGTGTGTAGTGTGTGTGCAGTGTGCATGTGTAGTGTGTGTGTAGTGTGTGTGTATTGTGCGTGTGTGTAGTGTGTGTGTATTGTGCGTGTAGTGTAGTGTGTGTGTAGTGTGTGTGTAGTGTGTGTGTATTGTGCGTGTAGTGTGTGTGTGTAGTGTGTGTAATGTGTGTGTGTATAGTGTGTGTGTATAGTGTGTGTAGTCTGTGTATAGTGTGTGCAGGGTGCATGTGTAGTGCGTAGTGTGTGTGTGTAGTGTGTGTGTAGTGCGTGTAGTGTAGTGTGTGTAGTGTGTGTGTGTAGTGTGTGTGTGTAGTGTGTGTGTATAGTGTGTGTGTGTAATGTGTGTGTAGTGTGTGTGTATTGTGTGTGTAGTGTGTGTGTGTAGTGTGTGTGTATGTAGTGTGTGTATTGTGTGCGTGTAGGTAGTGTGTGTGGTGTGTGTGTAATGTGTGTGTATGTAGTGTGTGTAGTGTGTGTGTGGTGTGTGTAGGTATTGTGTGTGTAGTGTGTGTATGTAGTGTGTGTGTAGTGCCTTGGATTCACTCGGACGACAATTGCCTTTCTTCCACCGTCACTTTTATTTCCATCGTTCCGCACACACACACAAACAGACAAACACACACACAGACAAACACACACTATATCATTACACACACACACAGACAAACACACACACAGACAACCACACACACTATATCATTACACACACACACAAACACACACACTATATCATTACACACACACTATATATCATTACACACACACTATATCATTACACACACACTATATATAATGACACACGCACACTATATATCATTACACACACACTATATATCATTACACACACACACTATATATCATTACACACACACACTATATATCATTACACACACACTATATATCATTACACACACACACTATATATCATTACACACAGTGACTCGTCTATCTCCTCACACACAGTGACTTGTCTATCTCTTCACACACAGTGACTTGTCTATCTCTTCACACACAGTGACTCTGTCTATCTCCTCACACACAGT